CAAAGGCAAACTTACAACCTGTGTATATGTTCACCTGCTTTCCCTTTGCATATTGTAATGTCTGAACCAATGCCCAAAGTTCAGCTCATTGTGCAGACCATCATTGTGGTAGCCTGTATGATGTCATTAGCAGTGTGACTGCAAACCTGGCCTTTGGCCATCTGCCCTAGACAAAGCTGCTTCCATCCGTGAAGAGTTTGAGCTCTGGATCTAAGAGAGGGGCATCCATTAGGTCTGGTCTGCTACAGTACACTTGGTCCATCACCTCTATGCAATCATGATCTGGGAGCCCTTCCTCTGTTGGCAGGAAGGTGGCAGGATTTAAAGTTCATACAGTTTCAAGTCTGACTCAAGGATTTTCACATAGTAGTCCTTGGTAATTGGCCATTCTAGAACTGGCCAGCCATTTATGATCCTGCCCATTCATTAGAGCCATGACTCATGAGGGACCTTAACATTAATGTCCTGTCCCAGGGTGAGTTTGTCAGCCTTCCTGATTAGAGTTACTGTAGCAGCCAGGACTTGGAGACATGGAGGCCACCCTGAGGCCACTGTTTCTAAGCATTTCAATAGGTAAGCTACTGGCCACTGCCATGGACCCACCATTTGGGTGAGGACCCCCCAGAGCTGTGTGATTTTTCTTGCAGATGAAGAGATTGAATGGTTGTGTTCATCTGGCAGCTCTAGCACAGGGACACTGGTTAACAGTCTCTTTATTTCCTGGAAAACCTTTTCATGGTCTGGTCCCCAGTTTAGAGGGTCCTTTCCAGAGCCTGCTGTGGCCTCATAAAGTGGTTTGGACAGGCTTGAATATCTGGGTATCCAGATGCAACAGAATCCTGCTGCCCCCAAGAATTCTTGGACCTCCCTTTTGGTCTTCGACTGATGGATGGAGCAGATAACTTGTTTCCTCTCTGGACCTAGGGTGCATCATCCCTCTGAGATGATGAATCTGAGGTATCGGACCTTTTGCTGGCAAACTTGAGCCTTTTTCCAGGAAACTTTGTAGCCTGCCTCGGAGAGTTGGGCTAGCAATGCCTTTGTCCTCTCCCAGTATTTCTACCATTCGTGGCTTTCCAGGAGCAGATCATCCACATATTGAAGTAAAGTACAGCTTGGATTTTCTTTTGGGAAAGTTGACAAATCCACTGCTAGGGCTTCCCTGGACAAGGTGGGTGAGTCTTTGAATCCTTGAGGCAGATTCATGATCATCCAGATCATTTGTGTTTTTCTTCCAGTATGGGGGTCTTCCCATTCAAAGGCAAACAGAGGCTGGCTAACTGGGGCCAGGCAGAGGCAGAAGAAAGCATCCTTTAGGTCCAGGTGGTGAACCAGCTTGCTTGTGGTGGTAGAAGGCTCAGGAGAGTGTAGGGATTAGGGACTTCTGGGTGCAGTGTGATAATGGATAATGGCATTGTTGACAGCCTGGAGGTCCCAGGCAGGCTGGTAATCATCTCCTCCTGCCTTTTTATTAGGCAACAGTGGGGTATTCCATGGCAATTGGCAGTTGATCAATATCCCTGCATCCAGCTGCTGTAGGTGGGTCTGAATTCCTAGGCATGCTTCCTGTGGTACTGGATATTGCCTCTGTCTGACAGGGAGAGCCCCAGGTCTGAGATCTACCATTATGGTACATGGTTGCAAGCAAGGCCAGGGGGCCCTTTTTCAGCCCAGACATCAGGAAACTCCTCCAGCAGGCAGATGGGCTTCGCCAGGTCCTCCTTTTTCTGGTGGTAGAGTTTCCATTCATCTTTTGTAGGCATGGTCACTGCCATGATGAGGGCATTTGGTCCTCTCACTATAAGGCTTGTAGGCCCTCCCTGGGTGAGGGTGATTTGGACTCCAAGCTTTGTTAGGAAGTCCCTTCCCAGCAGAGGAATTGGGCATTCTGTTATATAGGAATTCATGAGTCACCATGTGCCCTCATAGTTGGCATGTCTGGGGTCAGCAGAACTGCCAGAGTTTGGGTGCTGGTGGCTCCTACTATTGTGGCCCTGCACTGAGTGAGTGCGGCCACAGGCTTAGTGACCACAGAATACTCAGCATCTGAGTCCACAATGAATATCATTGTTTGGCCCACTACTTTCATTTCAAGCATGGGTTCTTAGGGGCCTGGTAGTAAGGAGCCTGGTCTTCCCTAGTCTGACTCAATTCCTGCTAGGCCAATGAGGTCAAGGTGGTGGGCTGTCTGGAAAAGGTGGCACTGGCTGCTCTGATGGTGGGGGCATGCTGGGAATGTACGGCAGGGTCACAGGCGGTTCATCTTCTGGATCCCCTTGCAGAACAGGCTTGGTCAGCTTCTGGTCTTTAGGCTTCATTGCCTGGGCCATGAAAACTCTGCTCTGTCCCTTTTTGTTGGCACAGAATTGGACTCAAGGGGTATGGTCTGAGCCACCTGAAGCCAGGAGCCGATATAGGGGAACTTTTTGGAGTACCCAGGGCTTCCTAGTATGATCTGATAAATGTCCCTGACAGTGGGCAAATCTAGGGTATCTTCAGGGGCCAGTTGACCCCACAAGTGGGCCATTCTAACTCACACAGCGTGTGCAGCCTTCTGGGAGACATTTTGATCCTGTAATCTCCTAAGAATCCCTTCTTAAAATGTTTAAGCATACACTGTAGGACTGTGGGTTTTGAGGAACTTCCACCCATGGCAGTTAGAGGTATCCCCTATACCCGCCTTATGTATTCCCTTCTCTGCATTGGTGGTGCAAAGACAAACAAGGGTGCGTGCCCCTTCAAGAGAAGAGACCAATCAAATGTCTACCTGGCTGCATCCCAAAGGAACTTTGGTGCCTCTTAGCATTGATAGCAGGGTCAGCCTTGTGACTCTAGATTGGGTTTCCCCAATGCCACCCTAAGCTGTATGAGGATCACCATGGAGCCACAGGACAGACCCATTTGGACTCTGTAGCCTTTCAGTTGTGGAGCCACAAACTTGAGCCTAAAGTGAGGATGAATCAGGACACTCATTCACTTACACATTTACACTGAAGTTATTACAGTTATTCTTTCCCACCCCCCCCCCCCACTTTGGGGAAGTCCCTGACCTGTGGAACTCCTCTTGGAGGTTCCCGGAGTGGATCAAACTCCCCTTCTGCCCAGTGTGATGGGACCTGAATGAGGGCTGACTTTCCTGGGAGGAGGGTGCTTACAGAATCTGGATGAAACTGCCAGGTGAGTTGGTCCATTTCCTCTTGGAGTCCGAGTTGGTCAAGAGTGCTCAGAGGGTTGGAACTCCGTGTTGAAGGAGGACCCGGAATACCATCAGGTGGTGTGCTGCCTTGTTTGGTCCCGAGTCCTTCCCTCCAGTGCAGTCCAGCCGCTGGCTGGTGACTCAAGGGGCTGGAATGGTTGGTATCTCGCTGGGGCCTCCAGAAATGTTGTGGAAAATATTGTCAGATGAGAAACCAAGTGACACTCAGAGAAGTGGAAAACTCAGATTTTATTTTACACAGGCAGTCCCAGATGAGCTCACACTCAAAATTCTGGGACCGAAACAAAGAATTCACAGGATACTTAAAGGGCAGTGCAGGGCATCAGGTTATAAGGAATGTGTTAGGGTTAATAGGCGAGCCAGTGCTAGGTTAGAGACCTGGTGTTGTTTAGATAAGAGCAGCAGGGGAGATCTTCTTTGGAAAGTTTATTTACGGAAGGAGACAAAGGAAGGTGGTAATGGTCAATTATCTCTACATGGTGCCCTTCATTATGACCTAACTAGCAATTTCTCATGTTCTGCAGCCTTGCCTGAGACCATCTTCTTGTTCAACATCAGGCACTTATTATGTACTGGATGGTATGCTGGAATTAAATTTCATAACAAAAGGATCTGAAAGCCTTGATTTTACAAATGTAGAAAAGGAGCCAAACCTCAGGGACTTTTCCATTTTTATATTGCTAATAAACCATAAGGTCAGGACTTCAGCTTCATCTACATTACTCTACTTTTTCAACTGAAGACCCATTTAAAAAATTCTGTGTGAGCTCAGTCTGGTAGTATGTACCTATAATCCCAGGTGGTAGAGGTATGAGGATCATGGTTCTAGGCCAGCACTGGCAAAGTTAGAGACCCTATTTGAAAAATTAAACAAGCAAACAAAAATTCCCCCAAAAAACTTAAGACTTGGGGGTGGGGAGGTGCATGTGATATAGTGCTCGCCTTAGCAAGTGCTAGGCCCTGATTTCAAACCCGAGTACAACCCTAAGAGGGGAAAAAAATCAGTGTGAATTACACATTAAATATAAACCTGACTTTGGTCAGATTCTTGACTAATTCTGATTTTTATGACATTTTATTATCTTTAAGGAGGGGAAATATAGAACCTTTCTATACATTGTTCATCAAGTAGTAGTCAGAATAGAAAAATTCTGAAGTCAATAAGGTAATAGCTTTTAAATTTTCTGATGTCCCTTGTAGAAAATTAAGAGGACAGAAAAGCATTAAAATATAACAAAATCATTTGCAAACATGATCAGCATTTTAAATTTCTCCCACCAGAGGCAGGCTTTACTTTTTGCCATATTTCCTCCCAGCCATATTCTGTTGATGTTTTATATGGTTGATGACAGTTATAAGCAGTTTTGTGTTTAAATTCATTTCCTTAATATATCAAAAGTATTTCCTCATATTAAACCCTCTTTATCAACATGCATTTCAATGGCTATGCAACATGGAAATTAAAGTTTCAACACAAACCATCAAAAGATGCTAAATAAATAAATAATGTATTCTAAGGTGACTTGCCACACCAATGATGGAAGAACCCCTCATGGGTAGTGTCCATTTTACAAGAAAAATTGTATTAGTCTTTAAGACTTTTTCATATATCCATTTTCACATTTCAAAGTGAAGCACTGCACCAAAAAGTTTATAAAATCAGGGAGGGCAGATGGTCAAATTAAGAAGAAATATTCTCAAAAAAAAAAAAAAAAAGAAGAAGAAGAAGAAAAAGAAATTCTCTAATAGATGCCTGGGGTGTACTGTGTTTTGTGTGTTGCAGGTGAAGTTGGTGACTGGAAAAATTTGTTCAGTGAAAGTCAAAACCAGGAAATGGATGAAAAATTCAAAGAGTGCTTAGCAGGTACTTCCCTCGGAGAAAAGCTGAAGTATAAGTCATATTGTTAGGCTTGAATCTGGCCGAGTCAGCTGGCCTGAATATCTTCTTTTCCCTAATAATAATTGGGTTTAGATAATTAACCAATAATTCAGTCAAATAGTCAAATAATGATATTTAACTAGCATATAAATCTGAATAGTGCAAATTTAATAATGATAACATCTGGAGTTGTCTTTACCACAAATTTGCCCACTTTTTGAAGGAAGCCATTCACCTATCAAATGGGACACTATTGTTACTGTATTTTACTGGGGATTTAACATCTTTTATACCATGGGTTCACACAAGAGCAGAAGTGGATACTGTCAGAGTGTGTACTATCTATCTACACTAGATCTGTGTTTGAACATAGATGACATAGGCCACCAAATGATGCACAATTTCTGATATTTTCCTCATGATAACTTCTCTCCTTTCTCACTATGGATCAAAGTACTTGAGTTTACCTCAGACTTACTGCTGGAAAAAATTTAATTCTGATTTTGCATTGACATAAGGTTAATAAACTCTATTGTAATTTGGTTCAAGAAAAATGCATTCCTCATCTACTCTGTGTATGCCAGTGAGGCACGCCTTCCTGAGGCTCCACTCTCAAGAAACTTTGTATTTCTACTTAACATAATCTTGAACTTAAGCTAAAGCTTGTGTTATTCTACCACACAGGCTGTTCTGCCACAGAGCCACAAGTAGTCATGTGGAACTAAGGAGAGAAGACAGAAAATATTCTAGAATCTCCTGTCTGATACCTCTCAATCTCGCTCTCTCTTTTTTTTTTTTTTTAGCAGTGTTAGGGATGGAACCCAGGCCTCCTGCATGCCAGGCAGGCACTCTACCACTGAGTTACATTCCCAACAACCCTCTCACCCTCTTAATAATCCTTACTGTTTATACTGTAGCTACTTCAACTCTAAAACTAAGTTATGTGCTGGAAGAACAGAATGAAGTGTTAAAGCCCTCTCCTTAAAATGCTGAGCAATGCTGTATAAAATTCTTTATGTGCATAGCTCATCTTTCAGTAAAGTAAACAGACTGATCAGAGACCAAAAGCAGAGAGGGAACAGAGAAATAGAGAAGGAAGAATCAGAGATGACATTAAGTTGCCATTGGGAGATTCACTGGTAGTAAAGAGGCTTGAGTTTCAATACCCACATAATTGGTGCCAGACTAGACAAAAAGACCAATGGGATAAAATAAATCCACCAAACCACCCATGCATGTAAGGAAACTTCACATAAGACAGAGATCATAGGAAGAAGTTAAACTGTCCAACATTTGATGCTAAGACAATTGGTTGTAATACAGAAGAAATAAGATTAGATCCTACTTCACATCACTCACAAAATAATCTTAAAAATATTAAAACACTAAGTTTTTACAAGCAAATACTTGATAATATTTTTATGACCACAAGGTATGATTTCTTAAGAAACAAAAATATAAGCAAAAAGGAAACCCTTTGTGCTTTTGGCTATATTAAAAATATAAAAGCTCAGCCAGGGACCAGTGGCTCTACCTGTAACCCTAGCTATTTAGGATGCAGAGATCAGGAACATATGGGTTCAAAGCCCCTGAGCCTATAGTTTGTAAGACCTTACCTTGAAAAATACACAACAAAAAAGGGCTGGTGGAGTAGATCAAGTGATAGAGTGCTTGCCTAGCAAGCATGAGGCCCTGAGTCAAAACCCAGTACTGCCAAAAACTAAATACATAAAAAATTTTTTTAAAACCTCTGTAAGCAAACATTTTTAAGAAAGTGAAACAACAATAACAAAAGAAATTTAAAAATATGAAATGACATGGCAGAAATTGGGAGAAGATAATTACTAACTAAAAGCCCGATATGTAGATGATACTAAGAGTATTTAAGGGTGGGGATCCAGCTCAGTAACAGAGCATTTGCCAAGCATTCACAAGGCCTGGGGTTTGATTCCCAGCACCACAAAAGTGAAAGAAAAGAAAAAGAAAGAAGAAAATCAATAGATGAAAGAAAAGATAGCTTAGAGAAAAAGTGTAAGGAGTATAGACAGACCCTTTACAGAAGAAGACACCCAAATGGCAAGTAAATGTGTAATGAGAAAAATGTAGCAATTAAAAAAATATAGTTCAAAATGACATCAAGAAACTTCCATAACTGGCTGTGAAGGATTACCAATTATAGGAATTTCAATCCCACCCTAACAGTGAGAAAACTGGATAAATTATAGGAAATGATGGTGTGTAGATACTGGAGAAGAGGTAGAGCAATACTAGGATCCCTGAGAAGTAAACAAGCGGGGTGAACCCAACTACAGCTCTGTTTGCTACCTGTAGTCAACCTCCAAGCTGCAGCACAGGGAAGGGAACCTGAGCAGGACAAAAGTGTTACAGAGCTGACCTGGACACTGAAGAGGCTGGTGATCACAGAGAACACTGGATAAAATGGGGCGCACAGACACAACCTCAGAGACCTGCAGAGGAAATCTTTCCTAACTTTAAATAAGTGTGGATGAGTGCATTCAGGGACTAAAATTCCATAAGGATAGTATAAATCTCCACCAAGGACTGAGGGTGTGGCTCAAGTGCTAGAGCGCCTGCCTATGAGGCTGAAAGCCCTGAGTTCAAACCCCAGTACCTCCACATCTCTATCAAGTCAGAGGAAGAACTGCTGGAAAGCAAAAAGACCTCACTGAGAGATGGAACTAGTTTATTTTTCCACCAAAATACAAAGACTTGAATCTATAGGATATTGGGTAGCTACTTTAGAATGGTCAGACCTTGGTAGTGGGGGTCACTTAGTTCTAGGCCTACCATAACCAGTTGAGCTGTGCTGCCAGCCCCAAAGAGGAATCTTAAATGAAAAAAATGTCATAAATTAAAAAATGATAAGAAATACAATAGATTTCTCCCCCAAAATGACACAAGTTAGAAGGAAATAGAGTGATATCTTTAAAGGATGGAGAGAAAAACTATCTGTTAACTTAGAAGCCCATATCAAGCAAAGATATCTCTCAAAAAGGAAGCTAAAATAAAGTTTCTTTTTTATCAAATAAATTCTGTGAGAAATGATCTCTGCTAGAAATGCACACAATGGATGTTGGAGGAAGTTCTTCAGGCAGAAAGAAAATGAATCCAGATTGGAAACCTGGATCTACAAAGAGGAATGAAGAGCACTCTAGATGGGGAAAGTGTGGGATAGGGAAAGGATAATCTCCTCTCCTCCCTTACTAACCTCTTTAACTATCTATTCCAAGCAAAAGTCAAAATGTATTTTGGAGTGTATACTATAGAGAGAAGTTAAAGTGTGATACTGGCACAGGATGGGAGAGGAGAAACAGAAGTGTACTCTTACATGTTTTGGAAAGATATTTGGTGATGTTATATGTGCATATACCTTGCCATCCAGCAAGTATACTCCCGGTTATGTACTCTAGAGAAACTCTCCCTCATTTGCACAAGGATATGTCAAGGGTTGTTTATAAATACTGAGACATTTGTAAACTAAATTGAGAAGCATGGATAAGTAAAATTTGAATTGTTGACATAAGGAAATATTCAGCAGTTAAACTAAATGAATTAGAGCTATGTCTTAAATAGGTAAGTTTTTAAAACATACTAATGACTTAATAGGTATAGGATTTCCTTTTGGAAATATTCCTTGATGAAACTATTTCAGAACTAGGTAATGGTGATGATAACACACTATTGTGAAAGTACTAAACGCTACTGAATTGTATACCTTAAAATGGTAAGTTTTATTTTATTTTAATTTCATCTCAGTTAAAAAGTACACACACACACACAAACACATGCAAAAAATCTGGGCATGGTAATACACATCTGTAATTCCAGCTACTTGGGAGGCAGAGGTAGGAGGATGAAGGTTCAGGCAAAGTTAGCATGAGACTCTATTTGAAAAATAAACTAAAAGCAAAAGAACTGGGGGTATGACTCAAGTGCTCAATCTTGAGAGCCTGCGAGTTTCTCCCTAGTACCACACACATTCAAAAAAAAATCTTTAAAATACTGGCAAAATAAGATTTACTTTAAAAATAAATGTGCACAAAGGTATTGCTCTTTACATCTTACATGTGAATTACTCAAATTAGTGAGTAAGAAGGATTAGGAGTGAGATCAGATAAAGGAACACTGGGGGCCTCAACTGCCTCCCAATATTCATTCAACAAGGATTTATTGAGCAATGTTGACACTGTAGGCCACACTTATCTCCCAGAAAAATTTGCCTTCCTTTGGCTTCTAAGATTCCAGCCCTCTTAATCTGGGTACTATCTGCTACCTCGAAGTGTCATTGGCAGCAGCTCAGGTTTGACCACAGTTTGCTGACCTCTGATCCAGACAATAAAATGCATTAGTGAACAAAACAGTCAAAACTTCCTGCCCACAAGACCTTACACTTCAGAGGAAGACGACAACAATTAGCCAATGAATTTTACTATATAACACCAGGCTATAAATTCCATGGAAGGAAAGTAGAACAGGATGAGGTGAGTCGTGAGCGACAACATGGTGTGGGTGGTGATTGTTACTTAAACAGTGTAGGCCGGAAGGCCTCATTGAGCAAGTGACATTTGAACAAGATCTGTGAGCCCTGCAGATAGCTGGGGGAAGAGCATTCCAGGCAGAAGCCACACCAAGTGCAAAGACACTGAGGCAGTAGTGTGCCATCCATTTTTAAGGAACAGCAAGGAAGCCAGTGCAGCTGGAAGGGAGTGACATAGAAAGAGGAAGTGTAACAAGAGATGGAGTCAGAGAAGCAACTGGAGGCCAAAATGTAGAGTCATGTAAGCACTCAAAAACTTTGATTATAACTCTCAGAGTAATGAGTTTTGAGCAGAGAAGTGGCAAGATTTGCAGGATGACTGTGGCTGATTTGTTGAGGCTAGACTCTAGGAAGGAAGAAAGAGGAGGAGGGAGAGGAAGAGGAGGAGGAAGAAGAAAAAGGTGAGAAGAAGAAGAGGAGAACAAGGAGGAGGAGGAGGGAGGAGAAAGGAAGAAGGAGGAAGAAGGAAGA